ACCCGCGGGCTCAGGCAATTCACTCCCCTCAGCCTCCCAAGGTGCGGGATTACAGGCTGAGCCACCGAGCCCGGCTCAGACTGTGAGTTCTAACTCAAGCTTCTGAGGCCAGGCCAAGCCAAGTCCTGCTGCCAGCAGCCAAGAAGCCCACCTCTCCTAGGGACCTTGGGAAGTAAATGACTAGTCATCAAAGTGCAAGGAACCCAGTGTGAGGTAGCCAACAGAACACCAGACCTGGAGGCCTGCGGTGGAGCCCCAGATCCATAGCTCCCAGCTACATGGCTGTGGGCAAGCTGCACACTCTGTGTCTGTGAATGGGGAGCAGCTCTGCTTTAATGGCCACCTAGCCCTGTCACTGACCTGCATGCGCCTTAAACCACAGAGCATGGTATAGGTTCTGGGACGGGGGCTGCTGCTCAGATGTTTGAACAGTCTTAACGTGGGCTCAGAGCATATGGAGCTAACCCACCTCCATGGGGATTGGCACTCCCAGGGCTCTACCAGCCCGTCGACTGCTTCTGAATTGGGAAATCAGAACTGCTCCCTGCAGTGACAGGCCAGAGCCAAGAAACTCCTTGCCTGGGAGCAGAGTCAGCCAGCCTGAGGCAAATGGCACCAGCTGCCTGCTGTAGCCCAAAGCCCCAAGCAGACTTCAATTCCAACAACCAGAGCCGGAATAGGAAGTATCCTCCATAGAGCACAACCATGGGACAGCTAGACACGGAGAGCCTGCGGCTTGCTAGCCACACACTGCAGTATCATTAACCAAATTCTCTCAGAAGAGCCTATTACCCTCAGGCCACTCAAGAAGTGCTTGGAACCCATCCAGAGTCACTAGGGTAGATGCTAGATGTCACTGTGTCCTTAAAAACTTTCTCCTGGATTTCGTAGGGATCAAGGATAGAAAACAGATCAGACATTTGCTGCCAGAGTTACGGGGAGCCCTTCTTGGGGACTAAGCCTCCAAAAAGATCCTGCTGCATCTCCAGAGGTGGGGGAGCCCCTTGGGTAGAGGGTTACAGCACTAGTTTCAGCCCCTAGACCTGAGCACATCTGGCTAGTTCCTTCTGTCAGCAAAGAGGATGAGAGGTATGTCCTCTCCATCCAATGAGCTCAGATCAACCTGGCTCAGTGAGCCCTGAAGGTGAGCCTAGAGGCTATGGGATAAATTTGCTATCCCATGAACACCGACCAAGGCCATGGCATTGGGCAGGGAGCTTAGGGCAACTCTAAGTCTCTCTAAGCCTCCTATCTACACTGGGTGGCTTGGGAACAAAAAGCTTCAGACCCACTGAGTAGTTCCACCATAAGAGGCAAGAATGGCAGCACAAGGAGACTGTAATCTCTCGTGGGGTCTATCAGCCCACACCCTCAGGATTTGGTTGCTGGGTTCATCTGAGTCCACTTATACCTCCCTACCCTGCCATCACTGAGATCCACCCAAGTGAGCCTGCCCTCTTGAGAATCCCAGGGGTCTCTCCCCAACACCCACCACTCCTCAGCTACTCTGTATCACTCCATCTCCTGACCACTCTCTTCATGAAACTCACTCTCCTTAACTCCTCTGGCTCTGCCCTCCTCAGCCCTTCCATGCTGGAAGATGGGGCTCATACTCCTCACTCTGGCTGCTTTGTGGATCTTTTTGTTCCTTAACCCCTCAACTGCAGAGGCCCAGCATGTGGCCTCAGCCCTTCTCACATCCCAGATCCCTGGGCCCAGTCGGCCCCTCTACCCCTACAGGGTCAGCTTCAGCCTCTGCTCAATCTCCACAACCCAGCCCTGAGCCTGACACCACCCCTCGATGCCAGCCAACACTTTGACACTGGGCACAAACAGCCCACCCACCAGGACACACCAGTCCCCCACCCAAGTGGGATCTGGGTACTGCTGTCCTCTCAGATGTCCCTTTCCCTTCACTCCTTGACTGACAAGGCCTGTCTCAGCACTGCCAGTCAGGCCACATCTTTGGGACCCTGGGCCAGAGATGGCATTCAAGGCCCTCCCCAATGGGTACTTGCTGCTTTTCCCATGAACACCAGGCCCCAGCTCCTGATCCATCAGAGTTGGGTCTGGACCCTCCCAGATTTACCTAGAGATCCTCTCCTCCCATTGTCAATACTTATGTAGTACAAATTATGTACCCAGTCCTATATTATAATACTTACGTGGGTTCCCATCAGATCCTCACAAACCCCATGAGGGTTTTTATCAACCCCTTACCATGCACCCTGACATTGCACCTTCCCTTCCCATCTCTCTCTGTCTGAGTCCTGCCATCTCTGCACCTGCCCACCTTCCCTGGTCTGTAACTGTATGGTTTAGATATGCCCAATCCCCCTCCCCTCCCCTTAACTCAAGCCTGGCCCAGCGCAGAGAACAGGCCTCTAAGGCTGAAGGAAGGAAAAGGTGTGGTCTCCCAATGGAGACAAGCCTCCCTGCTGCTCTGTTCTAGAAGCCTCTGTCTGAAAGAGCATCAGTGACAAATCCCAGGGCTCCCTGTGTAGGAAAGAACTGGTTCTGTGGCTGGCCCCTGCCACCTGGTGGTGATATGGGGTACTGCAAGCCTTAACCAACCAGGTTGGCCTCACCATATCAGACTCCAGGACACCCGGCCCAAGACTGAGCATCTCAGGTCTTCATCATCACCACTAACACCGTACCTCACTCCTCTCATTTTGTGCCAGCCACCCTGTCAGGTCTTGACATGAGTCAACTCATGAACCTTCCCAATGTCACCTGTGAAACAGGCCCTATCATTGTCCCAGGCGCCCACGGAGTCAAGTGACCTGCCCAACATCACAAAGTTTGGCATTTAAAGACAGCTACAGAGACCTGCCTCCACCCATGTTTTCAAGACCAGGATCTTCTTTCCTTTCTGGGAAGGTCTGCTCACCTTGGTTACCCCCAAAACGTGCTATCCTCAAACCTCTAAGAATCAGCTAGGAAGAGCTAGTGGAAGGTGTTGAGGGAGAGCTCTAAACTTCAAGTCCCTATCTGTGTCCAGCTGTAGCCTTCCTATCCAGCTGTGGATTGTGGAAGTGAGCCTATGAACTTTAAACTTAGTCCCAGGTCAACGTCCACAGGTCTTCAAACGACCCCAGCTCTGCCTCCTTCCTGGTCTCAGCCCACAGCCTCACCCATCCCTCTTTTGTCTGCTGTACAATCCCAATTTTTCCCATAGTCCCTCACCAGTTCCCTTCCCTGAGTCCCATCCCCAGAACTGTGGTGCCTTAAGGCCCTGCCCAGTCATAGTTGTTCTCAGGCCAGTTCCATATACCAACACCTTTAGCCAGCTCATCCTGAGCACACCCAATCTGCCTTTGCACTTCCCACCTGGAACCGGACATGAGCCCATCTCCTCTGCCCACCACCCTGCCTTCCAAGGGCTACAATTAAACTAGCAGGCACAGCCCTAGACCCCAAGGGCAGCCAGAGCCAAAGGCCCATCTGGCCCTGCAGTGTGCGTGAGACTCTGCCACCTCATAGGTGGGCACCAAAGGCTTGACGAAAGCCAGGTAGCACCATGCTCCATCTCCTGGCTAAGGTTCCAAGCCAGGACAGTCATACCACAGACTACCCCTTTGGATTCCCAACAGATCTGGGACTCCTCCCCACCCAAGGCCATCCTCAGGCCCATTTAAGCACCACAGCAATGGAACAATGCTTGGCTCCAGCACAATTCCACCATGGCTGCCCTCAGGCCCAGGAGGCTGTCCAACTCACGCTGATAATGCTGCAAGAGACGGTGAGTCCGCACATCCCAGACCTTCACTGTGTTGTCCATGCCAGCAGCAGCAATGCACGTACCACTGGGGTGGAAGTCCACATAGGTGACAAAGCTGGAAAGACAGGGGCCGCCATGCACTATAAGAGGTCTGCCCTGATTCATGATGGACCCAAAAAAATCCAGAGCTTTCCCTTCCCTTGCACCTGCTCATGCTGTTTTCTAGACCCTGACACCTCCTTTCTGCCACGTTTCTATACCAGGTGGCCAAGGGAGAGCAAGAGGAGCACAAGGTGAAATCAGTGCCCAGCAGGGAACTAAGGTAGATTTACCAGGGACTACGTACCACCAGCAATTTTTAAATACAAGTAGAGAATGCTGTCTTCAGACCCAAAGGTCAGCCAGGCTGCTCTGGGATTTTCAGAGTTGGAGCTACCACCCTTGGCAGGGCTGGTTGCAGGGCAGATCTTGACAGCTGAGGCTCAGGTAAGAAGGTCAGCAGGGCTACCGGGCTGTTGGCCTGCCTATCTCTGGGAGACAAGCCAAGAGCCCTCGATACACCTACATGTGATACTGAGGCTGGTACCAGCTCTCATGAGAAGCTTTAACAGTGGCTCCCAGCCTAACTGAGGCAGGCAAAAGCTGGGGTCCCTACTCAAATGCAGGCTCCTCCCTTTCTCGATGATGTGGCACAATATGAACGCCACCATCTTGTACACAAGCCTGATAAGGTTTTCATTTGTAACTCCATCACCACCATAAAAAAACATACTAAAAAGCTTTAAATGCAGTGTAAGCGACTGGGTGTCAACTGCCCACAAACAGACATGTAATTCTGAGAACTAAAAAGCAAAGGGAAAAAAGAGAGGCCCAAAGAATTACATGGCTTGAGATTAAGCGCTCCTGTGACTTAAGGGATGCAGAAGGGATTGAACCTTCTATCCACACAGAGCTTGGTTTCTGGCCCCTCACAAAAGGCACCAAAGAACAAGTGATGTGGCTGCTGGCCCCCATGGTTCCAGACACTGAAAGCTACCAGGTCTCCTTGTGGCCAGGTCTGTGCTCTGTGCTTAAACATCTTCAGGTAGAAGATGGCACCTGGGGACTCACCCGCCATGCTCACAGTACGAGTGGACACACTCCCGGCTGCTTTTGTCCCACAGCTTGACAGTCTTGTCATCACTAGCAGACACGATGAGCCGTCCATCTGGAGAGAATCTGAACCAGATAGGGCATAAGTCACACCACTGACTAACAGATGTCACGGGCCTTCTACAGTCACCCATCCCTGTGTGCCTACTATCTGACCCTAGGAACTGCTTGAGGTTGTGTGCTCTGCTTGGGTCCCTGAGTGGCCCTGAGTGACTGGCAATCCCTCTCTACAAGATGGATGGATAAGAATGGTGCCAAAATGATAATACATGAGGTGATGCATTTGTTCACTGGTTAGATTTAACCATACCACAATGTATATAAACTTCAAAACACCATGTTGTACGGGATAAATATATACCATTTTATTTGTCAATTAAAAAAATGTTTTTGTTGTTTTTTGTTTTGTTTTTTGAGGTGGGGTCTCTATCATCCAGATTGGAGTGCAGTGGCACAATCCTGGCTCACAGATGTCACCACACCCAGCTAATTTTTTTATATTTTGTAGAGACAAGGTCTTCTTATCTTGCCCAAGCTGGTCTCGAACTCCTGAGTTCAAGCAATCCTCCTACCCTGGCTCCCAAAGTGCTGAGATTACAGGTGTGATTCACCAAGACTGAGCAATTTTTAAATTTTTGAATGTTCTAATATACCTTTCCAGAAACATATGCATCATATCATGTGAGGCAAATATCATTTTTACTTGTGTTTATTTGGTCACATTTTAATCACATTTTGTTATTAAAAATGATAACATTAGCACTTGATAACCATTTCTCTCTAAAGAGTTTTTCAAGAACCTGTGACTAGATTTCAAATGTTATAAAACTGTTTTATTTCTTGCTTCCTGAATTTGTGAAGCTTTTGATCGTTCATGTTGCTCTTGCTTTTGTTTCTTATCAATTTCATGCTCCAACTTCTCCTCCCCCATTTAAACTCTGAGAAAAGAGAAAAAGAAAAGTTCTTTCTGGTTGCTCCAGAGAAAAAATAAATAGAAGTGAATAACTAAATAGAAGAGAAAAAGCACGGTGCCAGCCTCATGGTAAGATAAGCATGGAGTGGCACAATGCGCAGAGAGCCCCAGCACATACATGGCACATGGCAATACGCAGTCAGTAATGACTGCTTGAATATCAGCAGGGTGGTTATAAGGTATCGCTGTCCTGGGCCCAGGTCCTCCAAGTCTACATTTGACTCAAGTATGGGTCAGAAAAACACAATCCACCAACAAAAAAGGCATGAAGGTCCTGGGGACCCACCACCAAGGGCCCAGGGTGAGCTTAACATCCCAGTTTGCTGGCCAGGCCCTCCTGTTCTCAGGATCCTGGTCATGAAACAACTTAGAGCAATCAGGGGCCTTCTAGGACAAAAGAATGAGGTTGCCCTGGAGAATGAGTAACTTGCATAAGGTCCCCAGGAAAATAGAACTCAAGAGTTTCCAACCTCTGACTCCCATGGTTTCCCAGTGTCCCCTGGCACCTCCAGTCCCTTCCTTTGAAGCAGATATTTGACCCACAAGAAAGCTCTGTTGAAAGGAAGTAAATAAACTAGAAGTAGGCATATCTGTGTCTACAGTTCTTGAACCTTGAAAGGTCCTTTGGGTCACCCAACTCCCCTCATCTGCACAACACTGGCTCCCAGGCCAGAAGGAGGGCCAGCCTCCAGGCCAAGCCCCCTCAAAAGCCTGGGTCCCTATCTGGCAGCTCTGGAGCACAATCAACCGCTGAGAAGAACACCCCAGAAGAAAGCAGGCAAGGCTTAGTGCCAGAGACTTGGATTCAAACTCCAGCTCTGCCATGCACACACAGTATACCCAGGGGCAAGACACTGTACTGTTCTAAGCTTCTGTTTCCTCATCTGCAAAATAGAAATGACACTACCCAGCTTGTAGAACTGTCATGAGGCACAAGAAGAAAATGTACAGTGGAGGTAATGGCAATACCTAATTATTGTTGTTGGGTTTTTTGTTTCTGTTTTTTTTTTGAGTCAGAGTCTCATTCTTTCCCAGGCTGGAGTGCAGTAGCATGATCACAGCTACTGCAGCCTCAACCTGCTGGACCCAGGTAATCCTTCCACCTCAGTCTTCCAAGTAGTTGGGACTACAGGCACACATCACCATGCCTGGCTAATTTTTTTGTTTGTTTGTTTATTGTAGAGACAAGGTCTTGCCTCGTTGCCCAGGCTGATCTTGAATTTCTGGGTTCAGGCAATCCTCTCGCCTCGGTCTCCCAAAGTACGGGGCTATAGGCGGAAGCCACCACGCCCAGTCTCGTTGTTATTGTTACTAGGTGGCCCCTGTTGATTTAGCTTGTACTACGTCAGCACAGACGTAAGAGGGTCACTATGGCTGACAATGGACTAATTTATGTGCCTTGCATCAGCTCAATGAAGCTTCTCAACAACTTACAATGCAGGAACTATTACTGTTCCCATTTTACAGATAAGGAAACCAAGGCTGAGGAAGATTAAAGAGAGGCTAAGTAACTTGCCCGAAGTCACAAGCTGGCAACCAGCAGCCCCCGTGTCAACGCCTAACCACCAGGTCCTTCCAAGTATCTCCAGACAGGACAATGCTCACTTGGCACAGCGGACCCAATTGATGTGCTGGCTCAGAGAGAACAGGAATTTCTGGCGATGAGTCGACCACACCTTGATTGTCTTGTCATCAGAGGCTGTCACGAGGGACTGGCCATCACTGCAGAAGTGGACACTCCTCACTGTGGCTGTGTGTGCACGAAACACGGTTGACTCACCTTTGCTACAAGGACAGGCATCAAGAGTTACCCATAACAGTGACATGAGGGCCTACAAACACATAAAGCTCTCCTCACACCTTGAACACCCTTTCCAAAGTTAGCCAGGCCTACGTATCCAGTTCCCTAAAAGGAAGGCCGGAGCCTCTCCCACAGGCAGAGAACTGTCGTACCTCCCTCCCACATGTAATCAGCATGAAGTAGCATTTCTTCAAGTCTGGTTGGAGTCAGTCCCCAGAATCCCTCTCCCAATCCTGAGGGAAGGGCTCCAAATGAAGCTCTAGTCTCTGATGGCACCTCCTCAGAACAGAGATGTCCCACTGTGACCAGTCCAGAGACAGGGTAGGGGGCCTGGGTGGGGATGGTTTTGGCACCAGGGTCCCAGACTCCGACAAGCCCCTCAAAGTCTACAACTCACACGTTGGGTACCCAGATGCGGACGGTCTTGTCTCGGGAGCCTGAGGCAAGCAGGTGTCCAGATGGGGAGAAGTTCACACAGGTGACGGCATCCTTATGACCGGTGAAGCGGTAGGCACGTGACTGGGGCTTCATGTGCCAGACCATGAGGCACGAGTCCATGGAGCCACTGGCTGAGAAGAGTGGGTGACTCTATGACCCTCAGCCCTAAGGGCCTCAAGCCTCTGCCAGGACACCAAGGATGCAGGGAAGCAACACACACACGGCAACCACACACACGGCAACCACACACACGGCAGTGAGAAGGCACCCTACGGGCAGCAGCACCATCAGTGACAGCTAACCAGGCTTTTGGAGAGCCTAGAGCACGCAGCATGCCCACAAAGGAACAAGACTGAGGCCCTTCACATGCCAGCCTTGGGCTGTAACCCAGAGCTCTGGGAAAACTCTTCTTCGTGAGGCCCCAGGTCTTCCCCAGACATACCCCAAGGGCATAGAAAGCAAGTCCTCCCAAGGCTGGGGAGCCAGCCCAACCCATGATGGTCCAACTCAATAAGCCTAGAGGAGGTCCCCAAAACAGAATAGAAATTACTTCCGTTCCCTCTTAACCTGCAGCGTACCAAAAGGCCAGCAGCCTTAGGCTGGGGCCTTGATGACAGAATAAAGGGTGGGCCTCGTCCATGGGAACAAGAAAGCACAGTCGTGAAAGCCAAGTGTGAAACCCCATGCAACCAAGGGCAGTTCAGGGGACACTCAGCTGTAGCATAAGGGAAGTGGGATGAGGAGGGTCCCGGTCTTGCTCAACATCCTTCTCACTGGCAGTTCTCTTCAACAAGAAGGTGTTAAATGTTACTGTGGGCAACAGAACTGATAAAGACTGGAGGAAAAGGAGTCACTGTTTAGGGCCCATTCCACAGGACAGAGCCAAGAGGTGACCAGGCATGCAGGAAAAAGCCCAGACCCCAGTCTCACCCTTCAAATGTTGTGTGACCTTGGCAAGGCTCCTAACCTCACTTAGCCTCATACTCTCTGCATGTAAAATGGAGCTGACAAAGCCCAGTGCCCAGAGAGCTGGCAAGTGGAGGCAAAATGCAGGGCTAGACAAAAAGTTGTACTGTGCTAGCTGTGCTCTGCTCCCCGCACGCCACACCTCCCAGGTAGAAACTTAGCCTTCTCAGCTCAAAACCTAGTGCCTGGACGAGATGACTCCTCTTACCCAGCTGCTTTGTATTGAGACTGAAGTCCACACAGGTAACTGCATCTCGGTGGCCCTTAAAATGCCTTTCCAACGAGGGGTCCTCCTGGGGAAGACAAGGGTGAAGTTTGTGAAGCCCAAATGAGGAAGGGGCTTCCCTGGGGCCAGGACTCTTTCTACAACAGCTAGGAGTTAAAAATGCTCAAGAAAATCCTGGGCCGGGCATGGTGGCTCACACCTATAATCCCAGAGTTTGGGAGGCCAACTCAGGTGGATCATTTGGGTCCAGGAGTTTGAGGCTGCAGTGAGCTATGATCTTCCCACTGCACTCCAGTCTGGGCAACAGAGAAAGATAGGAAGACAGGAAGGAAAGGAGGGGGGAAAGGAAGGAAAAAGACAAAAGGAAAAAGACAGACAGATAGATGGGGGAGGAGAAGGGAGAGGAGAGATGAAAGGGAAGGGGAGGGGAGGGCAGGAAGAGGAGGGGAGAGAAGGAAAGGGAGGGAAGCAAGGAAAGGGAGAGGAGGGGAGGGGAGGGAGAAAGCAACCCCTAAGAAATCCATTAAAAACTATTAGAATTGGTAAGAGTTCAGCAAGCCTGCAGGATAAAAATCAATACACACAAATCAATTGTGTTTCTGTGTGCTCACCAGCAATGAACAATCCGAAAATAAAACAATTCCATTTAGAACACACAAAAAATAAAATACTTAGGAATAACTTAACAAAAGAAGTACAAGACCTGCACAGTGAAAAGAACAAAATATCATTGACAGAATTAAAAGAGGACCTAAAAAATGGAAAGACATCCCATGTTCATGGGGATCGGAAGACTTAATATTGTTAAGATGCAATATACCAGCTAGGCATGATGGCTCAAGCCTGTAATCTCAGCACTTTGGGAGGCCAAGGTGAGGGGACTGTCTGAGCCCACGGATTCAAAAACAGCCTGGGCGCCGGGCTTGGTAGCTCAGCCTGTAATCCCGCACCTTTGGGAGGCTGAGGTGAGAAGATTGCCTGAGTCCGTGGGTTCGAGACCCGCCTGGGCAGCGAGACCTCATCTCTACAATAAAAATTTTTTAAAAATCAGCTAGGTGTCGTAGCGCATGCCTGTAATTCCGGCTACTCTGAAGGCTGAGGCGGAAGGATCACCAGAGCCCAACAGGTGGAGGCTGCGGTGGCCGGGAGCAGCCACTGCACTCCAGTCTGGGTGACAGAGTGAGACTCCAACTCAAAAAAAAAAAGAAAAGAAAACAGCCTGGGCAACTTGGCAAGACCTCATTATCTACAATAAAAGATCAAAAGAAAAAATTAGAGCTGGGTGGCTCAGCCTGTAACCCCAGCACTTTGGGAGGCCAAGGCTAGTGGGTTGCCTGAGCCCATAGGTTCGAGACCAGCCTGGGCAACTTGGCGAGACCTCATCTCTACAATAAAAATTTAAAAATTAGCCGGGCATGGTAGTGTGCACCTGTAGTTCTGAGGCGGAAGGATTGTCAGAGCCCAGCAGGTCGACACTGGGGTGACCATGAGCGCGCCATTGCATTCCAGCCTGGGAGACAGTGAGATGCCAACAACAACAACAAAAAAAGATGCAATATGCCTCAAATCAACCTTCAGATTCAACAAAAACTCTATCAAAATCCCAGGTGACTTTTTTGCTGACATTAGCAAGTTGATTCTAAAAATCACATGAAAATGTAAAACACTCAGAAAAAAACAAAACAATCCTTTAAAAGAACAACAAACAAAACAGCTACTGTGGAAACAGTTTGACAGTTCCTCAAAAAGTTAAACCTAGTTAGCAAATGATCCAGCAATTCTAGGTAAATACCAAAAAGAATTGAAAACATGGTTCACACAAAAACTAATACACAAATGTTCAGAGCAGTAGTATTCTTAATAGTCAAAAAGTATCCATCAACAGAAGAATGAATAAACCAAATGCAGTATATCCATACAACTTTTGTATAAAGAAATAAAACTGTGTTATTCACAGACAGCATGATTATGTGCATTAAAATTTCCCAAAAAATATGAAAAAAAAAAAAAAAGGCAAGACATGGTGGCTCACGCCTGTAATCTCAGCACTTTGGAAGACTGAGGCTGGAAAATCACTTGAGCCCAGAAGTTTGAGACCAGCTTGGCAACATAGAGAGGTCTCATCTCTACAAAAAAAAAAAATATAAAAAATTAGTCAGGTATAATCACATGCGCCTGTAGTCCCAGCAACCCTGGAGACTGAGGTGGGAGGATCACTTGAGCCCAGGAGGTAGAGGCTGCAGTGAGCTGTAATCACGCCACTCACTGCACTCCAACATGGGCAATACAGTGAGACTCCAAACCCAAAACAACAACAACAACTATACACTTTAAAAGGTGAATTTTTGTGGTATGTACTATCTCAATAAAGTTATTATTCTTAAGCCCAGAGAGAGAAAAACAGGGATCTTTCAGCACCCATCATCTCAGGAATCAGATTCCATTGCCTAAATCTCACCAGACTGGCCAGTAAACCCAAAGGTCCGCCCTGGACAGGAAAACGGTGGCATCACCATCATCTCCATTCTACTCAGTGTCAAGGAAACAGCAGGGCCATACAGGACATTGCTTAGGAAGACACCAGGGAGAATATTCCAGAGACTCTTTTCACCCAACAGCAGCTTGTGTCTCAGTACTTGAAGGGTTATATACCTCAGCCTTCCAAACATCTCTTCCCACCCCAAACATCAGAAACCTCAAAGAAGCATTTGGGGTTTTCCAGGGAGCCAAAAGGCTCCTCTTGGGAAAGGATGTCCTTGGGACAGAGCAAAGCCACTGCCACCCCCACAGAGCTGTAACTAGAACAAAGGCTCTGTAGCTCTGTGCCCAGCTCCACCTCCAACACACCTGTTGGAGTGCTCCATTCAACATCGGGGGAGTGGAGGGCGGCAACAGTGCAGCACCTGCCCCATTCAGTCTCCTAACCACAACTAAGCCTCTTGGAAGAACGAGAAGACAGCGCCCGACCCCAGGTTCAGTGAGCAGAGGCAAATCCAAGCCCACCCTTGATCAGTGGGCCCCTGGATATCTCCCAAAACCCTCTGCCTCTGTTGTTTCCTGCATGTGGTCCTCATACCAGAATAGGGGTCAAGGGGCTGGCTCCCAGTCTGGACCCTCTGTCTAAGTCACCACATGCCTAAGGAGGCCACGGGGTAACGTCCAGCCTCCCTGACTCTCCACCCAGCCAGAGGGCCAGGCCTGTTCAAAGCAACCTCTCAAAATGACCGGCTTTGGAGTGCTCCTCTCTGGCCTCTGGAGGACTCGGAAGCGGCGGCGCCGCCCAGGACACGCTGCAGGCCGGCTCAAGATCCCAGGGGTCTGCTGTTCCCACCCGTTGCATTAGCGTTAACCCTCAACAAGACTCCCTCAGCCACCCACTTGCTCAGGATGGGGAGACAGGCTAGAAAGGCACGACCCTGGTCCCACGTCGCACCTGCGTCGGGCCGTACCTGTGTCTCCCTAGCTAAGATGCAAAGGCAGGGACTCGTGTGTCCGCCACAGAAACTCGGTCCGCCGGAAGCTCTCAGGAAGTGAACTGGGACTGAAGACCGCCCTGGACCCGGCGCCCCACCCGCCCTTCTCGCAGCCATCGCTCCGGTCGGCCTAGGTGCCCACTGCCCCAGCGGGGAGACTGAGGCCTAGTGGCCGCCGCCAAAAAAGACTTACCGCACACTGCGCAGCCATGGTGGGGCTGGCGGCGCCAGAGGCGCCCCGGGAGCCCAAGGCAGCAGCGGCGGCCGTTGCGGCCGGTTCAGTTTCCGCGCCGCCAACGGCCGCCAATAGCAACGCGGCCGCGTCGGCGCACCCCGCCCACCGCAATTAAAGGGGAAGTGTCTCGGTTCTTTGCTTCCTGATCAAAAGCAGAGCTGTATAACCCGCACCACAGTGCGCCCAGCCCGGCTAGGTCAGACAACTGACGGACGACGTCGCCAAAGGCCTCTGTCCGCCGTCATTCATTCCTCCTGATGAATTAAAAAGCCCGGAATGAAGGGTTCGCCCCACCGGCCCGTCGCCCGACTGAGACGGCGAACGCTGCCTTCTGGGAAATGCAGTCCCAAGCCCGCCCACACCGTTGTGTCTGGAGGAAGGTAGAACTACATTTCCCAAGACGCCCTGAGGGCGTGCGGGGGTTTCCCACCTGAAGAGAAGGCCTTAAGGATCCCGGAAGCGGAGGACACGTGGGTTGCTGTGTGTGTGTGTGTGTGTGTGTGTGTGTGTGTGTGATTATTTTTAAATGAATAAATAATTTAAAACTTTTAATTTTTTAACATAATCGTGATATAAATAACCCAAATACATAGTCTTTGGAACGAAAGGTTTGAGAGCTGCTGTTTTATCGCATCCATCTAGCACCCTATGAACCTCACTCAGTGTATATTTTACTTTAGATCTAATTCAAGAGATCATATGCAAAAAAAAGCTTCTTAAACTCATCTCAAGAAAGAGGGTTTAAATCTCCACACTGAAATACTGAAGTCTAACTGGTTTTAGTTAAACATCCAAGATACAAAGCATATTTTCCTTGGTGACATCAAAATGTAATATATTGATCTTTTTTTTTTTTGAGTCGGAGCCTCACTCTGTCGCCCAGGCTGGAGTGCAGGTGCAGTAACATGCTCACGGCCACCGCAGCCTCAACCTGCTACGCTCACGTGATCTTCCACCTCAGCCTTCCAAGTAGCTAGAACCACAGGCATGTGTCACCACGCCTGACTAATATAAATGACCTTTTACTTCCTACAATGTTGACTCTGATGTATGAA